TTTTACTTTTTAATGGTTGGGTCAGCAAAATTTTTGCTACGAAAAACATTTCTCTTCGGTGCCACCCCCCGCCATAAATAATGACCGGTCCCTTAAACAACTTGTACAATATTGTTATATCATGACTGTATCGGATTTGTTGGAACAACCTTGTAACAACTCTGATAATATCAACAAGGTTGTTGCAAGCTGTTAACAGCTTGTTCCAAACTTGTTGACAACTTGGGACAAGCAGTGCGAACACAACTTGTTAACGGCTTGTTGGCAGACTTGCTACAAGATTAATTCCTTCAGCAATGTGAAAATCTGACCTTTTTAGTAAAAAATCTTGATTTGCTGTCATCTTTCTTCTTAACTGCCTTGCCTAAATCTGTCTTTTTCTTAACCTGTGGTTTATTAATGTCGCTATAACTATTCTTAACGACTTCCAACAATCGACTACGAATCTTGACAAAGCTTTTTACAATTTCATCGATAATTCTGTTGTTCTCTAACTGCGACTCTTGAACGTTCTAAAAATATTTGAATTGTTATTTAGTTTTAAATTAGGATACTCGTTCTGAGATGAAATCTGCAAGGCATTAGAATACAATGGTTTAAATTGTTCACTTACAACGCCACATATCGGACATTTGGAATTACCAGATAAACATCTTCTGATACAGAGCGAACAATCTGAAGTTTTAAAAGGAAACGTTTATAAATATATTTACCACCATATTTGAAATACCTTTTTCAGGTAGTTCAACAGAAACCACGGCAGCTTATTGTACAATACTACCTACACTCGACCACCACGTTTGAGATATCTTTTTCAGGTAGTTCAGACACAAACCACGGCAGCTTATTGTACAATACTACCTACACTCGACCACCACATTTGAGATATCTTTTTCAGGTAGTTCAGACACAAACCACGACAGCTTATTGTAGAATACTACCCACACTGGACCACCATGTTTGAGATACCTTTTTCAGGTAGTTCAGACACAAACCACAGCAGCTTATTGTAGAATACTACCTACACTGGACCACCACGTTTGAGATATCTTTTTCAGGTAGTTCAGACACAAACCACAGCAGCTTATTGTAGAATACTACCTACACTGGACCACCACGTTTGAGATATCTTTTTCAGGTAGTTCAGACACAAACCACGGCAGCTTATTGTAGAATACTACCTACACTGGACCACCACGCTTGAGATATCTTTTTCAGGTAGTTCAGACACAAACCACGGCAGCTTATTGTAGAATACTACCTACACTGGACCGCCACGTTTGAGATATCTTTTTCAGGTAGTTCAGACACAAACCACGGCAGCTTATTGTAGAATACTACCTACACTGGACCACCACGTTTGAGATATCTTTTCAGGTAGTTCAGACACAAACCACGACAGCTTATTGTAGAATACTACCTACACTGGATCACCACGTTTGAGATATCTTTTTCAGGTAGTGCGGACACAAACCACGACAGCTTATTGTAGAATACTACCTACACTGGACCACCACGTTTGAGATATCTTTTTCAGGTAGTTCAGACACAAACCACGACAGCTTATTGTAGAATATTACCTACACTGGACCACCACGTTTGAGATATCTTTTTCAGGTAGTTCAGACACAAACCACGGCAGCTTATTGTAGAATACAGTACTACCTACACTGGACCACCACGTTTGAGATATCTTTTTCATGTAGTTCAGACACAAACCACGACAGCTTATTGTAGAATACTACCTACACTGGACCACCACGTTTGAGATATCTTTTTTCAGGTAGTTCAGACACAAACCACGGCAGCTTATTGTAGAATACTACCTACACTGGACCACCACGTTTGAAATATCTTTTTCAGGTAGTTCAGACACAAACCACGACAACTTATTGTAGAATACTACTTACACTGGACCACCACGTTTGAGATATCTTTTTCAGGTAGTTCAAACACAAACCATGCCAGCTTATTGTAGAATACTACCTACACTGGACCACCACGTTTGAGATATCTTTTTCAAGTAGTTCAGACACAAACCACGACAGCTTATTGTAGAACACTACCTACACTCGACCACCACATTTGAGATATCTTTTTCAGGTAGTTCAGACACAAACCAGTGAACCACGACATCTTATTGTAGAATACTACCTACACTGGACCACCACATTTGAGATACCTTTTTCAGGTAGTTCAGACACAAACCACGACAGCTTATCGTAGAATAATATCAACATTGGACCACTACGTTTTGGTACTTAGCTTTTCCCTAATGTACCTAGATGTATTCACATGTATCTAACTATCCGAAATATACCTTCTTACCACCCTAGGTGTAACAAGCTGCACTCGGTAGTGAATGGAAACGAGGAGTTGTTAGATCCAGAATGGATCCGACTGGCTGATCAAGTTGGCAACGAATGGCTAGAGAACATGAAAGAAATTGCAATTTTGATTGGCTCTTCGCTCAAGGATGGCGAGCGTCAGGACGAGGAACTGAAAAGGAATACAGTGGATTTTGACCAGTTATGCAAGGCCGGGAAACTGTGGTTGACCAACATGACGAACTCTGTCGAGAATGAAGATGGGAAATTCATGCTGATCGTATGTTCTAGAAAGCTTCTATATTATTTAACAAATTTAAACATTTTTCCGTATTGATATCAACACGAGTGGAAATTGGGAAAACGAGAAATTGTGTGGGAACACGACGCCCGAAGGGCGAGTGTTTTCACACAATTTCGAGTTTTCCCAATTTTCGCGAGTGTTGATATAACTGTATGTCAATACGGAAAAAATGTTTTATATTTGTTTTATTGGTTCAGTTATTATCCTAATTAGTTCCAATTAATTTCTTAATTAGGTGAGCGATCTTCACTCGACGATGTTAAGATGGATGATCACCGTCCTACTCCGTCTTGCCCCGGATGTTGAAGACTGCGATCTCGAGGAGATTGGTACTGAGGATGATCTTAAGGGGGCTCTGGGTGGAGGAGAGATTCTCATGGAATCAACCTCGCAGGAGATCAAAACCCGGGCGGGTCGTTTAGCCGAGGACTTGAGAACATATTCAAAGGTGATTATGATGGTGATTATGATGGTGGTGATGATGATGGTGGTGGTGATGGTGGTGATGATGATGATGGTGATGACGATGGTGGTGATGATGTTAATGGTGATGTTGGTGACTGATGGTTAGCTCATTAGCACACTGGAAAATTTGAAACACTTAAGAAAAATTTGGGAATCCAATCAAGTTTTGCACGCTTCCTTAAGCCCTGGGCAA